TAACATATTATTTATTTTTGTTTAACTCTAAATGTAGGAGATGTCGTTGCTTATTTTTTTCAGGACTTGGGTAACATATTATTTATTTTTGTAAAGCCATGAGATGTTGCTTATTTTTTTTCATTTTGATTATGAAATAACGTAAAATATAAAAACTAGTTTTAGGTTAGACTTCTTTTATTTAATATTTAACTAAAATAATTTTAGATTTTTTTTAACTTAAAATGTGTTGATGAACACAACAAAAAAACCATACCTTTAGCAATGACAAAATACATCACAATTGATTCTGATAGTCGACGCTAATACCTTTAGCGATGTCGCTAAAGGGTCACCGCTATTACCTCGTAGCTAATACTCAATTGCCGTCGCAATTATTGTCGTCTCTAATACTTGTCGTTACTAAAAAGGCCACGTCGTCGATATTAGTGTCGCCTCTATTGGTATTTCGGCTACTGGTCGGAGTTTTTTCCGACAAGGCTTCCCGGAGGCAGGCATCGTCACAATTGACGCATGGCCCCTAATGTTTTTTTTAAACAATTTATATATGATATTAGTTTATATATTATAAAATGTAGATTTATAAAAATACAGAAATCAATACATACCACATTAAATTAAAACATCAAATAATATAAAACAATACATATCACATTACATAAAACATCAAATATAAAATTTACTTAAACTATCTAATAAATCCAAAATAAACATCAAATATACTACCCATAAACTATCTAATAAATCCAAAATAACATTATCCATAACAGAAAATAAGAAATACTAGGCGTCTTCGTCTTCCTCGTTATTGTTTTCCTCGTTGTTGACTTGGTTCTTAAACGAGCGGATAGTATCTTCAATTTTCGTCACAAACGTCGGGGTTTGAACAAAAGCATTAGCATCCACATCCTACAAAGTATGCATATAAGTTAAAATATCAAACTAAAAAAACAAATTATTATTACTTAACAATTAAGTCACAAGCACATTAAGTAATTAACAATTTAACAAACTATCAAACCACCAAATGAATTAAGTCGTTAATAATTTAACAAACTATCAAACCACCAAATCAGTAAAGTCTTTAACAATTTAACAAACTCTCAAACTACCAAACTACCAAACTACAAATTTAGAACAAATGAATTAACCACTTAACAAATAAGCAAAGTATCAAACTACCAAAAATTACTATAAATGCATCAATTTCTATATAGCAAAGTTACTAAATTCTTTAAGAGTTTAATAAGTACATGCGTTGGTTTCGGTGCTTGTGATTGTGACTACCATTAAGATGGAGCACTTGTATCCACTGAAAAAGGAGGTTTAGGCCCGATGCCTATCACATGCCCCCTTCAAGCACCTAACACCTTCTCAAATATTGTGATCCAATCAATGGAGTTCAGATCACCACCGGATTCGGTTATGTGTTGAGTTTGTAAAGCAACTTCACCAACAAAAGCATTTTGTATTTCACAAAGATTGTCAATATATACTTCAAAAATAACACAAAAAACGACAATATACTTCATTTTTAAGTAATAAAAACTTGTATTGTAATGCCCGGATCCCGGTACGTACTTTAAATAAAAGTGGTTGCGTTTTACACTTGGACTCGACGAGTTGGAGGCCCAACTCGTCGAGTAGACTAGACTTTGGGTCGCGGGTTTTAAGTAACCTACTCGACGAGTCGGGGAGCCCGACTCAGCGAGTAGGGCTGTCTGGACAAAACCCTAATATTTAGGGTTTGCACCCTATTTAAACAACTTATCTTGCCTCAACCCAACCTCCATCGTCCCTCTCACTTCCAGAAAGCCTTATCTCGAAACCCTAGAGCTTGTTGAGTGTTCTTGAGCCATTTTTGAGTATTTAGAGTTGTTTGAAGCTTGAGGGAAGAAGTAGAAGCTTGGGGGTTCTTGAAGAAGCAAGTGGATCCAGAGATTTCGCCCCATTTCCAGCTTATTCAAGGTAAAAAGCTTGAACCTTGACTTATCATTTGATAGATCTTCTTTAAGACATGGATCTTGCCATTTTTTGAGACATTTCTAAGCCACCTTTGGGTTTGGATCATATTGTGGAGTGTTAGCTCCAGATCTGGAACCATTGAGAGTTCCCATGGCATAAATGTGCCGACTTTATGGCCATGGGAGTTCCATGCATCTTATAAACCCCATTTTATAGCCTTTTGAGCCAAAAAACTCATGCATGGACATCAAGTTCGTAGCTTTACGTATAAAATGGACCCTAGGAGGTCAGATCTATGATTTTGATGCATTAAGACCCACTGAAAACGACTGTATAGTTTTGGACAAAGAGGGACTCGACGAGTCGTTCATGGGACTCAGCGAGTTAGGTCACAGTTTTCCCCAAACGTCTTCTGGAAATGGTCTTTGGTTGTGTTGAAGGAAAACTTAGCATGTTGGGGTTGTTATGGACTTGAAGATCGAAGGACTCGACGAGTGCAAGGAGGAACTCGGCGAGTTCAAGGCAATGTCCCAACCATATGAAGACGGACTCGACGAGTTCAAGGAGAACTCGGTGAGTCATAGACTAAACACCTTCAATCGGATGAAGATGAACTCGATAAGTTCAAGGACGAACTCGGCGAGTCAGTTGAAGAAGGTCCCGATGTTTTGGTTAAAGGAGAACTCGTCGAACTCTCGCTAGACTCGACGAGTAGGGACGGGGTTGTAGCATTTTGTGAACATGGGGACTCGACGAGTTGGTGGAACAACTCGGCGAGTCTCACTACTAGAAAAACAGCCTTTTACGACGCGCAATGCGCGTCGTAAAACGCTTAGACGACGCAGAAATGCGCGTCAAGGAAGGCCCTGTCATAACTAGAGACAACACGCTTTTGCGCGTCGTCTATAGACGACGCGCATTTACGACATGCATTTACACACTCATTTACGACATGCAATGCGTATCAAGGAAGGCCCTGTCATAAAGGAAGACGACACGCATTTGCGTGTTGTAACCTTACGACGCGCGTTTAGGACACGCATTACGTATCATTAAAGCCATTGTCATAAATGAAGATGACACGCATTTGCGTGTCATAAACTTCAGCAACCATTTACGATATACATTTACGATGCATCTTTACAATACTAATTTACGCATAATACAAAAATATGGAAACAAATATATACCAAAACAATCAATTTCATCCAATAACATCATGTCAAACAAGTTATCAAAAAAAATGTTATACATTGATATTAAAGGGATCTAATAGTACATTCTTATTAAGAGGTTTTCCCTAACAATATAACATGATACTACATCCCTAACTATATAACCTGATCCTTCGTGTCATTGGTTTGCCACCTGGTGTACCATGTAAAAATGTTAAACTGGGTGTCATGGGCAGCTGTCCACCGGGCGTGGATGGCAAGTAAAGGCTTGAAGCATTAGCTGAAACAAAATAACTTTTATTAATCACACAATCAACAAACTTTAGAAGTACCTTATAAGCCTTAAAATCCTTGGCTATTTGCACAACAAGCTAGTTTCCACCAACAACATGGGAAGTGAAAAGGCGTAACATCCACTTGTGATGTTTCTAAACTAGGCTACTCATTTGGCAGCATTAACATTCCGAAATAATTATTTTCATGGTTATTTAATTATAAACTTTAGAATGTGGGGACATAAAATAAAGCAAACATGGACAAAAGACAAACATCAAACAATGACTCTGGTTGTCTTGTTCCGGATCTCATAATTGTAATGAATCTTTTTGTTCGTCCCAATACGACTAAGGGGTTGTATGGGAAACATCTTTTTTATATATATAGATGTCAAATTTGAAATGTTGATGCATAGATTCGATATTTTGTTCGGTATCTATATTATAGATTGCTATAATAACAAGTATATGTTTAATAACTCTACATTTAGTCCCCACTTTCATCCTAATGGTTGTTATATATTGTATCAAAGAGTGTACATCTAGTCAAGAGGAAGTACCTGATCTGGATCCATGGCAGCAAAAAGTTTTGATGCAACTGCTATATCTGTGAGAGAAAGAGCAGCATGTAGCTCATTTTTTACTATTCCACCCGGTCAGATTTGAACAAAAGATAAACTAGTGAAAATGACTATTTTACTCTTCTCAATCCTCTTCAACTAAGCATTTCATCAAATCATGAATAAAATCATAAATAAAATCCAAAAAAAATAATAATCTTATAACTAAATCTTACCTGACGAATGAGTTCGCAACCGTCTATAGTGAACTTAGTGACGCCATGTAAGTACTGTCATTCAGAGAAAAATGAAGTTGAAGAAGTTAGACCACATGTCCCCATAATACACAAACAATAAATTAAAAAAATAAAATTGAAATAAATCACCAGAAAATAAGATTAGAATTTTTCACAAATTTGACTGGTAACAAAATATTGATGTGTCATCCGATTTGACTTGACGTAATAATAACAGCAACATACAGAAGTTTAAGAAAAAACAAAAAACAATATTTTGACGGGTTGAGGAGGGACTTTTAACAATAAAAAAGATTTGAGTGTACCTACCTGTCCAATGGACAAGAGGGCATAAATGAGAATGTAAAAAGCAGGGCCTCGAGTTCTTGTAGTGCTTTGCTCTGTCCAGTAACTTAACCATGTGCTACTTGAAATTCGAAGGACTTCGGTTGAAATATACCTGTATGTAACAACCACGGCCCTAAACTTCCAAAAAAATCACAATATTGAGATTTACCTTGTTGGGATTAACACTAACATATACTCCTTTTGGTGTAACAACTTTAGCAACATACGATGTATAAGCTTCTCCAACATTTGTCACTGTCCTTGTAAACGTTTGAGATGATCCAAGTTTAACAGAAAACGAAGGATAATTCAACTGGCCTTCTGGTATGCTAGATTTAGTTGAACATTTAATCGGCCCATGTGAAATGATCCCAACTTGTTCATCACTATACCCAAGTCCACACAAGTAGGGTATGTAATCATCAGGATGGATATCATAGATCAATCAAGGATCATTGGTTTTGATGGGTTAACATGACCTGAACCCATAGAAAATAGGTCAGCTGGTTGGAGTGTTTCATCTACTATTCGTGTGCCTTTGAGATTAACAAGGTCTGTAGAAGTCATTATAGCTGACTTTATAGCTGCTGGTGTCCAATAAGGATGAGTAGCTTTCAGCAATGTTGCAACACCGCTGAGATGTGGGCATGACATTGATGTTCCAGACATCATGTTAAATGGAGATTTTGTGTCTGTGCTTCCAGGAAGTGGGGTTGTCCATGATGCTAGAATGCTGACACCTGGTCCAATAATGTCTGGTTTCAGAATTCCTGGACTCACTGTATTCGGACCTCTAGAAGAGAATGAAGCCACAGATGGAGCTAAAGGGTCTCCAATTACTGTTCCTTTGAATAATAAAGCTGCCATTGGTGCAACTGTTGAGTTGATGTAAGTTTTAATCTTCAGTCCAACTGCAAAACTCACCTGTGTTGCAGGGAGGACATGTGCATCTGCATCTAGGCTGAATCCCTGTGGTTCTTGGTTCATCAATATCATAAATTACCAATAGCCCCTAAAGTTTGTTTACCTTGCTAAAACCTTCCAGCTAACAATGCCGGTTTGCCTATCTTCTTGCTTGATAAGAAGAGATTTATGATTCTTTTTTGATGATGTAACTGTAATAGTGGTTGGAGCATTCATTGAGTCATGATCAAAATATGGTTTTGAGGATGTATTGGTTGTGCATTCGGTGGTTCCACTTCCATCCATTCCACCCACCTTTTCCATTAAGTTCCGAATGCATTAAAAAAATAAAATTGAAATAAATCAACCTCAGCCTCAGCCTCATGACCATTAACAAGTACACCACCATATGAAGAATCATTATCCTTATCCTTATTACCAACAAATTCCTCCTCCTTTTTATTCTCTTTTTCTACATCCTGTGTTCAACAAAAATACAAATATATAAATATTAAAATAGAAAATAAAATACAAGTATATACTCAGTCAAAACAGAAAAATCAAACATAAATTTACTCTATTATTACCTTTACAAACATAGAACAAACAAACTACCTCAAAATTTCAATTTTTTTTCACCATGTTCCAAAGCTACATCCCACATGATTTTGAGTGATGATATTAAGGCGTTTTCTCATGATATCCAATGACGGTTAAGACAGGAAGCAAATTCAATAAAAACATGTGTGAGAAGATGGAAGAAGCTCTATTGAATCATTAGTTTTGTAAATGTAAAGCTTTGAAGCTAATCCACCAAAACCTTCTATTGGTAGATGCTTTAAAGATGTCCAAAAGAACAAAACTACCTTTCTCTGATTCCCTGTCATATCTTCAATAATCTGTACAGAATACACATCTGTACAGAGCTTCCACCAAAACCTTCTATACGATTATGTATGATGTTATCATTTGAGAGGCACAGAATACACATCTGTACAGAGCTTCCAAGTCAAACATTTAACACAATACTCATTAAAATAATGCATACTTCCAAGGTCTCAAATTTAGACTATAAACTAGGTCTGGACAGAAAAAACTCAACCAATGTGATTCATACTCGAATGTGAAAACAGTAAGTATTTACCTGTAAATCTAAAGATTTCAAAAATCTACACTTCTCAAAAGGTATACCTCATGTGCATCACCCGCTATGTCAGGCTTCCTTTGGGATAATGCCCTAAACCATGGTTCCTTTTGTTCTGAAAACAGATAAAAAGTAATATTTAAATATGTATTCTCAAACATCCACTTGGGAAAAGTATTTTGTATTGGGTCCCGATATATTGATGTAATCAAACATATCAAGACTTAATCAGTTAAAATAGACCTATTCAGAAGGATCATTACTCGGTTGATTACATATTTAATAAAAATGACATTCACCCCACACTCCTTTACAAGTTCACCATATGCCTCTGTAACAATCATAGTAACATGGTTTACAACTAGGACTTCCATTACAGAGGCTAAATCATGCCTCACAAGGGCTATGCGGACCATTAAACCGACCTCAAACATGGGAATTAATACCTTTCAATTTCACGAATAATCTAAATCATCAGTAGTTGACCAAATAAAAGAGTACGTTTGATATTTTAGAGCTTCGAATAAATGGATTAAGAGATGTTCTTACATGTTCAAATATATTAAAGATCTCTAAGGTTCATCCCTTTCTCACAGAGGATACAGAGTACATCAAGCGAATTCTCGAAAGGTAACAAAAGGCGATGAGGGCATCAGATGGAGTGTCGACATGGGTAAATGTTGAATCAAGCCCTAGAAATCGCTCAAGGTCGGCGAGGGGAGGGGGAAACGATTTTCAGTGTAATATAGAGGAGGTTGCTTCGAGCCCTAGAAATCACACGACATCAAGAATAATGAAGAAGCTAAGGGGGTGTTTGAGAGTGATGTATGTTCTTGTTCTGGATGTGTAGCTGAGAGGTATCGTGCTTGAAGGTTGTTGCAATCAACCTTTATTTTTGGTATTTTTGGTAGACGATAGGTGAAGCGAGGAGTTCGATCGATGTTTTTAGAGTGAAATTGAAGATTGGAGAGCCAAAGAGGAGAGAATCACAGAAGCGTGAAGTGTGGATTGAGTTTGTAGGGTTCAATGGTGGTGGTGATGGATTACGGTTTGTAGAGAAAATGGAGTGAAAGAATGAAGGGAGATAGATCTAGAGGAGACAGTGCAGAAGCAGGGAACTTCAAAATTTTAGAATTTCGGACGATTTCAATTTCCCTCTTTAAAAACGCACGTTTGTCTAAAAAATTATAAAGCGACGTTAATAGAGGACGCAGGCTTTAAGATAAGCGCCCTTCGTGTTTGTAATTTTTTTTTGTTGGACGCTAATTTTAGGGCACGCATAAATCTGTGTCCTCTATCCTTCATATTTTGCAAAAGTGACATTATTTTTTAGGGCACGCACAAATGCGTATCCTCTATCAGCGCGTGTCATTGTTTGCGCATCATTAAAGGGTTGTTTTCTAGTAGTGTCTAGTCAACCAAAGTTGACTTTGACCAGGGTTTTGACCTTGACTTTGACTTGGACTTGAGTTGACCCTTGTAAGGGTTATGAGTATGAAATGGTAATTTAGAAAGGTTGTTGTGTAGGGATTGAGGAGTGGAGAAGACTTGATTTCCATACCGAGGTCAGTGCAGACACTACAAGACATTGAGGTGAGTTACCTTTCAGTAGCGGTGGGTCTATGGCCACAATGTCGGCCCACCAGTAGGAGTGTATGTTAGACAATGGTCTTTGTGATAATTGTCTGTGTTTACTGCTACTTGATATGTTTATGTGTTAGCATGTTATGATGTTATGTGATCATAGCAGTAGGGGAGATAGTCCCCAAGTTACCGACCGATAGGGCCGAAGGGGTAGTTTAGTACCCAACTATGCTAGACAAATTATGGTTATATGATAATATGTGGTAGTAGTAAGGGGTGAGATAATCCCCCGAGACCGGTCGAGAGGACCGAAGGGGTAGGCTAGCACCCAAATACGCTAGGCAAGGTCACCTTCGGTCGAGAGGACTGAAGGGGTAGGTCGGGCACCCAGATATGTCTGGCAGTATGTATGTCATGTGATTGTATGGTATGTGGTATGATGGGGGAACTCACTAAGCTTCATGCTTAAAGTTTACAATTTTGTTTCAGGTACCTCTTCATCGAAGGGGAAGGAGCCGGCACGGTAGCAGCGCATCGCAAACACTCGATTTCCGCACTATGACGTTCTTGGGATTGTACTCTGACACATTTATTATTTCATGACATATTTTTATGACATTTGTCTCATGGGTTATGAGTTGATATGATATTGATGTTGCTTTTCAGTAAACAGTTTTAATAAATTACTTAATCAAAAACGAAATTTTTGGTCTTGAAAATCGGGATGTTACAAGTTGGTATCAGAGCCTTGGTTTGAGGGATTCGGATACACCTTCGGAGGTGTCCGGACTCAAACCGAGGTTTTGAAAGATTTTTATAACGAAATAATTTTTCCAAGATTTAAAATAAGGAGTTCTGAGAAAGAACAAGGTGTGTGATGCGTGCGACCGGCCGAGCTCAAGTAAGTTTTCCCCAAGATACCCATACATGTTATGTTATGATGAGATATGCTTATGAGAATCGCATGCTAGATTAGGGCTAAGGATTTAGGAATGATGCCTTATATGCTTGATTGCCCTTGTATGAGAACTACATGCTAGATTAGGGCTAAGGATCTAGGAAGATGCCTTATGTGCCTGTTATATGTGCCTATTGAATTATATGCTAGAGCTGATTAATCAGCAATATGATGGCCTGAATAGGATATGCTTGGTATGGTTACTCAATGCTCGAATGATGTTTGCTTTGTGCTTTTAGGAGTTCTAGTTATCTTTAGCTAACTAGTAAACGAATACGTTAAGTTACATATTGCGGAGACTAAATAATTTCAGAAGGTTAGGTCTATCCCAATTATGCAGCTCTTGTCTGAGTCCAACCGTTGTAGGGCAGGGCCTCTCATTCGAAGAATTATCTGGTCTTAGCAATATGTAATGGTATTCGCAAGCTAGTTAGGTAAAGGAGGCAGGAATTCCTTATGCAGCTGATGGCGGAGAGTAGGTCGGAGAGTTACCCTAGGGAAAGCCTAGGATGAGATTAGTGCAGAGAGAAGTAGTAGTAGAAGGGACTTGGTAAAGTCAAGGCAATCCTTGAGGAAAGTACGGATAGATGTGGAAGGTAGTAGGGGCCCATACTACTGAAAGCAGAGGATCTGTACTCAAATCAAGGAGGGTTGAGATAGAACCAGGATACTTGTAGTGTGCGTATGTGATCCTTCAGTAGTAATGAGTATTCTGATGGTTATTATATTGCATGGCAGAATGGTGACGCTACGGGGTGGACCAGATGGCGGTTCAGGCGTCGGTGAGGGATCATGCTCGGGCTCAGGAGTCGGGCAGCTCGGGGAGCAGATGAGAGAGTTTATTTCAGCTGAGATTATGTGCGGTATCATTGACCAGAATCCTGTGATCTTCGGTTCGGTCAAGGAGGGGATTTTGGAGCTTTTGGATAGTCGCCTCGAGTCCTTTCGGGCCGAGATCGCTACGGGGCAGTTAGGGGCTCATCTGGAGCCCAATGTTCGTGGATCCCTGGGATCCTTCGGGAAAGAGGATCTCGTTGTTAGCTCTTGTCATCTGGGATCGGAGGTGGGTTAAGCACCTTGTCTCCAGGAAAGTCCACTACATGATTGGATCGTTGTGGAGGTTTCGCGAACCGTACGTGATGAATTACCCGACATCATTGGGCATGTCACTGATAGGCTGACCGCTAGGTTCCAGGGTCAGACAGCAGCTATTCAGACGGTTGATGGGGTAGTCGGGGTAACTCGGGAGCAGGAGAGTGGTTTGGCTAGGCAGCTCGGAAAAAAGAAGAGAGCACCTACCTCAGGACGATTGGAAGAAGGTGGAGAATCCAACTTGGCTGACTTGGGAGTTGGGAGTCAGGGAGACCTCGAGGTATGTGGCAAGTGTGGGGGAACCCATGGGTTTGCTTGTCACAAGTTTAGATGTTTCAAGTGTGGAGAAAGAGTGCATGTGCATCGGGATTGTATGAAGAATCAAATATGTTTTCATTGTCATCAGCCAGGTCATTTCAAGTCTCGTTGTCCTGCTTTGATGGCAGAGAGAGTTCAGATTCCAACGCCCATCGTCCCGCAGGAAGTCAAGATCGAGCCGCAATAGATCGTTGATAGGTAATTTAAAATTTCCCTTTCTGTAATGAA